TGGATGGATGGATGGATGGACAGTTACACAATGATACATATTCATATAATTTCATATATATGTATATGTGCTGCTTCCCTTATCTTCTACTCAATCCCTATTCAGGCAGTTGCATGTCAATGCGTGATTGTTTGCATTCGTACAAAATAACATCTGATGGATGCTAAGAATGCGCCTCGCACATTCCTGTCCAGCTTCAATGCTGCATCTAGTAGCAAAGCTACCTCTAGAGTCGTTTTGCCTCTGAAAGGTCCAGTTCGGAACCTCCACCATCGCAAGCCCAACACTTTTTCCAGGAGGACTCACAGATGACTCCTCGAAGTTTCTCAATGCGAGCGTCCTCTTGACGTTGCTCGGGTGCAGCTGCCACCATGCATTGCTACAGGTGATGGTATGAGATCAGTTCAAAGGGCTGCTAGCGGAGGTTTCGGACTTGGGGTCTTCAGGCGTTGGCGCGGAGTCTAGAGCCAGGTTTCAGGGCGAGGAACCGTGTTTGGGTTCTCACTATCTTCACATGGCACAACCTTCGATTCGCAACATCGCATCCAATAACCACTAAGGTTGAATCCACTCCTCATGAAGGCCGCTCATATCCCGGCCGCATTCCTCAAAGTGAGAATGCCATAGGTGTGCATGCAGCGAGGCTTCTTGCGTCACTGGAGCTGCAAGTTTGTTACTTGAGCTCTGTTTTTTCTGTTTTGATGGTTCAAGTATTGTTGTAGCTTCACGTTCTTGTAGGGTATTTCTAAATGTGCGAGTACTATGTGATGACACAGCAAGGGAAACTGTAGAGGTAAACCGTAGCAATCGTCCGCGAGCTCTGCTTTGCGAACCTGTAGAGGGCTGGAGCTCGGTACACGGTGGCTTCTTGCGAGGGCAACCTTGCAAGCGCAATTAACTGTACCCGTTCGCCACATGCACTCCACCTGCCACGTTCACGTATTGGAGGATGCTGGCAGACTCTCAGTTTTCCACACAACTCTGTGCAGAGTCCAATTCGATCTGGATAGTGTGGCACGATCAGCGTCAACAGAGGCGCATTGGAGCACCAGCTGGCAAAAGGTTAGGTGCTGCGCATTCTCGGTCTGATGCAACCGATTGAATCATCGTGTTTGGTGAGTGTTCGCGGCTTTCCTGTCTGATTTGGTTAGCGAAATGCACTTCGCACTGGAGAACTTGACTAGCCTTTGCACTTGCAGGCTCCAGCTTATTCAGACATGACGCCACGAGATCTTACGGAAGACACAGCTGAATTCACGCTCCATGCCCAGACGGCCGTGGGACACTCAGAATCAAGTCCTGAGACTAGACTCTATAACGGAAACTGCTAGGTTCAATGGCACGATGTTACAGTCAAATTTCCTCGAAATTGATTTCAGGTTGAATGGAAACATTACGCATCAAAGGTTCAAGATTCAACATTGCATCCGAAGTCCAATAAGCAAGAGCGTCGTGAAACACATCCGAATCCCGAGCCACATGTAATTCAACCTTGAGCCCAAGCAGCAGCAAGCACGAAATCCCCAAGCTGTGCCCTAGCACCCCCGGAGACCGCTTGAATCCGGGTCCCCCCGCCCACGTGAACATCGTAGCCAGTCCGATAAATTCCACCGTTGTTCATGCCGAATGCCGGCAGCCGACCAGGCGATGGCTGTCGTCTAAGGGTTTAGTTTTAGGGTTTATAGGG